ACGGAACACAAAATGTGCAAAAAGTTACAAATTAAGGTATGGTGTTTTGATGGAATAACACCAAATAATTATTAATGCAGTTAACAGACTGTGCTGTTTCTACCAATTTTTTTTCAAGAAAACAATACATGAAAAATAAATGTAATAGTATCTCCCAATGCTTACTTTAATGTCGAAACACACCTGTCAAAATTGCAGGTAAATATTTGTCCTACATTTCACGGACATAATTTGTAAGCAGAGGGAGCACTAGAGCTTAATTTTTGATAAAAAAAAACATACTAAGAGTAATTAAACCTGATGTTCACACAAAAATATAACCACACTGGTTAACTGAGTGAAGAAAATCACATGTAAATGCTAAGGCAATTATGTGAACCTTGGTGGTCATATGGCTGCTCCAATTAGCAAATTAAATATAAAAAAATACTTTATGATAATTCTGCATGTACAGAAATAAAAATTACAGCATTACTTAATTGAAGTTGTTTTTTTAATTACACTAAGATGAATTTAGATTACCAACAAAGAAAGTTTAAAGTTTCAATGGATGAATTATCTTTTTTGCAAAATAACAGTTTCACATAATATAATTTTCATGGTTAGAATAGATCAAACTAAAGTAGAGTGCATACCTCCACAACTCAGTGTTAATCATATACAGCCCTAAAAAAAATACGAAAACGTGTCCATATGTTCATTGTTATCAAGACATGAACTATTTTTGGCATGAGGAATAATATTCTACATGTGTCTACCAAGTATCATCAAAATCCGATCATTTTTCACTGAGTTATAGAGCAAAATTAGTATGAAAAATCAGTGCCTATGTTAACAGATAAGATTTTTTTTTATTTTCGTGACCTTGACCCTCCAAAAACTAATCACTTCTAATTTGGGTCATAGTCCAACTGTATATTAGCTTTCATTCAAATCCATTCAGCCATTTTCGAGAAATCTTGCTGACAAACACACACACAAGGGTGAAGACATAACCTTTGTCACCTTTGGTGGTGGAGGTAATAACCACTTAAAGAAACATTTTTTACAGTAGTGCACAAATGTTTAATTTATTATTAAGCACAAAGCTACACAAGAAGCTATCTCTGCCATGCCCAGCATTGGTATCGAAACCCAGCTTTTAGTGTTAAAAGCCTTCAAAATTTATCACTATGCCACTGGGGGGAGTATCTAAATGTTCATAAACAGTCTGAATTAAATGCTGAAATAATGAAATGCTATAACTATAAAAGTAAACTACCAAGAATTCATGGGATGAGATTACTCTCAGTAAATAACTTCCCTGAATTACGGATTTGCAAAAACTGTCTTTGTTTTAAAAAAAATTACATTTTTATAATCAATAAGAAACTAAGTGCATTTAATTTCCATTCTATTTTTCACCAACTTACCGATACAAGATGCTGTACAGTGTAAATATCTGTATCTCCAAAATATACTCGGATTGCTCTAGCTGTGAAGCCAAACCCACGAGGTCCTCTCCTGATGATTATAGGGGGTTTGAGTTGATTATTTAGGGGGCTTGTCTCTCTACTGGGAGAAGCATCTTGGGAACTGGTATTGGATCCCTCAATAGTTGCAAGTACATCAGCTACATGAAAAATTTAATATATCATTACAGTGACATTACTTTTAAATTTAATAATGTTGTACAGTTTTACAAGTACTTTTCGAAACAGATATTACACACAAAATTTGCAGAGTTCATAAGTTCAAAATAGTGTTTAACTCTTTCAATGTCATGGATACATATATGTAAAAGAGCACTGCTATGGCCAATTTTTTAACCTTGAAAGTGTGATTTTAATCACACACAGGCTTGGAATTTTGTACCCCCTGTGATAAAAAGTAGTGGCCTTCAAACTTCCCCCAAAATTTACTAGTTTCAGGTTTCAGCTGATAAAATGTTAACACGTGCATCTTTTTTTGTTTTGTGTATCTAAAAATAACCCTGATACTGGCAGAAATTTTTATATATGTGTCAATGAGGGAGTAAAAATATTCAAACCGTATAAAATATTTTATCATTATACTTCTTATCAGCTAACTGAAAATTATATATGTAACATTTATATAATATTTGTTTCAAGATTTTCATCCATTTCCTGAAAACTGCAAAATTACAATCTATGGAGTTTCATCTCTTACAACAACAGCAAGTGTTTATGAAAATTGTATCAAACATTTCCTTACCCAATAGAGTTTTGTGTAATTATGCTACTTCTCATACGAGACCTATAATATTTGGAGATTGTACTATTAGAAATTTGTTGCAGGTTTCCTAATTTAATCAATAAGGAGTAATATTCTACTCAAGAGGTTGTACAAAGTGATACTTAAAATTTTAAACCAGATTAAATCTGATATTTTTTTAACCTATAACAGCAAATTTTCCATTCCATCATTTAAAAAGCAAAAAAAAAAAATTTTATGCTTGCATGGAACTGACTTTTCAATCAGTATTTTTAATTCTTGGATACTTCATGAATATTTTTATTTCAAAACCATGTTAAAAGTTCTGAACACATAATTAAAATATACAGTAAAACACAAAGATTATCAGGAAAGTATAACTGAGAGATATAATCACAACTTTTGTACTTGGAATTCTGGTATATTTAACAGAAATGTCTGGATACATTTAAAGTGCAAACATTTGATTTAAGAACTTTTTACTGGTTTTTGTTCAACATATTACGATTCACACTAGCAGGATGTTTATACATTACGTGTATGTTATTTGTTCTGTAGCTACATACCACACTTGGACAATAAAAAAAAATTCTTACCAATTTCATAAAATGCTTTTCTGATGAAATTTCCCAAATATGCATGTTCATGTAATTTAGCAATAGTTAATTAAGTGCATATGATATTTCTAATTCTTGTTTAAAACAAGTAGCAGTTTATGCAAAATTGACTTAGGGGAAAAAGAAGCAGTGTTCAAATATTCTATTGGACCTCTGGTTTGAGGCCAGTACATATGGTTGCATACTACCAGATTCCCCAATAGATAAACAAGTATGATTTGTAAAGCAAGAATTGTTTAGTATAATCCAAAGCAATTCTTTATCCATATGATATGTTTACCACGTTACTTTAATCAAACATGTATTTTTACATACCCTTATTATTTCCCCTCTGGGTAAAGTCAACATAATACTTAGTGTAGTAGTACAGCTGATGCTGGTTAAACTAGAATAAGTAGTGTTTTATTATGATACTAATGTGTTTAACGGAGGCTTGTAAGGACATTACAAGTGGCTGGTGAGAAGCTCCAACATTTATCTACTTCGACGTTCCAGATCACTTGAAAAGCATGAAACTTTTATAGTCATAACAGTTAGGAAGTTAACAGATTGTTGTTTCATGTCATGTTAACTAATTCATTTTTAGGTTTATCTCTGAATGAGAGTAGGAAGGGCATGTTGAGAAACCTGTAAATTTAAAAATATGCTTTAAAATTTCAGCCTTTTATTATCTGTGGTTGAAAAATGTGAACTTTTGCACCCATAGATTGAGATCTGAGACAGGGTTAAAACTGATCATTAGTCAGAGAGAATACAATTCTAAGCAAGTAATAAATACATCAAGATAGCAGATAAAAATAAAATGGAGAAGAATGTAATCTTAAAAGTGCATGCATGTGGATACTGGGTTAAGTAAAATTATGTAGTGTATATATAATATATATATATTATTTGATAGATTTAAAACATCAAGTGACATAAAAATATTCCAAATATATGTGTAATAAAATTAATTTTGAAAATAATAACTAATGTTAAATATACAAAATTACTTTGATAACAGTACACAAAGCAATCTTTGATGCAATGAAACTTGTACAATGAGCATGCATATATTAACTTCAATTTTCCTTGTTTTCATGAAGTTTGATGTTACAATATATTTGTGTTGCAGCTTCTTCTTAACAGTTAAGTAGCATCTTTTAAGTTTTTTCTTGTGAAAGTCAGTAAAATGCCTAAGTATTACTGTCTGATAACCAGTACTTTAACATACGAAATCCCTCAAAGCCTTCTGCTTGTATACACAAGTAAATCACTCAATGTTAATAGTAAGCCTAACAGATTTATCATAAATTAAGGAATTACAGGTCTGGCAAATTAGTAACATGGAAAATTAACTTCTGCAACTGAAAAGTATTATTTACATTAAAACAATAATGATAAGCACCTGTTTTATTTTTTCAATATAACACTAATTCTTATAAACTAATATTCTGGTGAACATTATAATACCAGTTGGAATAATCAATGACAACCCAGAAGCCGAAGCTGACTTGATGACTGGACGAGCTTTTTGTTGAGACCCACAAGGAGACAATGGTATTGAAGGAATTGGTATTCTGGCAGAAAGTGTAAGTGGAGAAACTAATTTTCTAGGCCTTACAGCTCTGCTGTGTGCTTTTCGATTTGCACCTTCACTGACTGGTGACAATTCTTTGTAATCAGGAGGTGTTGCCACTAAAGAAGGTCTATTGTCCTCCATGCTGATTGAAAAGTGAGGAAGAAACTCTTTTATCCCTGTCTGCCAGTGTCTCTGAACTTTGGGTGACAGTTCTTCCAATTCTGTTTGGGAGGACTCCAGTGCATTCTGAGATCCTAGTTGAACTCTGCTAGATAACAAATGATTCAATTTACATACAGAAAAAATTCATATAGATTTTCTTGCCTTTCTGAGGTCAAACATATGTCACAAACATAAGCAAAGCTTTGTAAAAAAAAAAGTTAACTCATCAACCTTATTCTAACCATTTTTATTTTCATGGATGGATATTGAAATAAAGAAATAATTAGGGGAAATATTTTTTGGAAAATCTGAAGCTATGTTGTCAAAAAAGTAGAACACAATGTGAAGAGCATTTTCAATAAGAAACCTGTGGATCTTCAAACCATGTCAATTAAATACTAGTAACTTTTGTACAATACTAATAACGTAAAATGGATATTGTCAGTACTTCATTCAGGTTATTTTATGAACTTATTAATGAAAGCAACAAAGAATATATAGTTTGCCAACCACACTACATCTGTCATATCCAGTGCTAAATTACAATCACTGTAAAAGTTTCCAACAAGTTCACATTAATTCTTAACATAAAATCAAAACATATTTGTTGCTGTATGTTGCAGGGAAAGAGCAAGCAAATAAGAACTTGTTTCACTCTGTAATTGAAATTACCCATACACCTCATTCAGTATTAGATGAATTTAACATTGTAAAGTTTATGAATTTTTCTGACCTCTTAAATATATAATTTTAAAGATTATATTGCTTATCAGTTATCTATAATAACATAACTTTGTGTTTTAACTAGTTATACTATTTTTCTTATGTATTTTATTCTCTCATTATATTCTTCTGTAAGATCTCTAATTTTTGCCAATACATTGTACTGTACTTTTTGATCATTTTTTTCATTTCCTTAATTAAGCAACAATTAATTCTGGCTCAGAAAAATTAATTTCATCACTTTTCTAAAATTTCAGATACTAATTCACTTTTTTTCAAATATTCTTACAGATTTGTTTTATAAGCTGTAGAAAAGTCTTATAAAAAGTGATTGCCAGACAAATGCTACCAAATATATGAAAATTATTTCATGTTAGTTTTTGATATAATTGCTAACAAAAAATAACTTATTTTATTACAAGTTACAGCTTTTATAGTAAGTAAGATTATTTTTTAGAACAGGTATGACATTTCCATCACAGGTGTAATCATTCTCAAGTGCCTGAGAATGATCCCATTAGTGATTGAAACGTTGTACCTGTACTTGAGAATGATTGCACCATTGATTGAAACATTGTACCTTTTCTAAAAAATAATCTTACTTACTGTAAAAGCTGTAACTTGTAATAAAATAATACTTAATCAGTAAGTAAACTCCAAACAAAACTATTAAAAAATAACTCAGTTTCAATACAAAAAAAAACAAAATAAGAGGGTATATTTGAGGGGGAAAAAAAACTGAATATAGAACACCCTGACTCTTATCAGGATGGGTGTAGCAATATGCAGCCACTTCTTACTGTTACACAGCAACTGTGAAATGTACAAAAAAGGCACATATTGTAAACAGTGTAAAAGTACTGCCCTTATCTAATTCTATTTTTTAATGGATAAAGCCAGTTCAGTGAGTTAAATCCAGAAGGTACATCAATTAGCTGTGGAAAGTTAGAAGTGTTACTTACGAATCTGGAGTTGAAACAGACTTCTTTTTAATTTCAGGTGTCTTGCACAGACTACTTCCTTGTGAACTGGAACTGTCAGAATGATCTGATGGACAGGAATTAACGCTATCTGAAGAGTGTTGTGTTGATTCTTCTCTCAAAAGCTGAAAGAAACCGGTACAACACTTGACAACTATATTAAAAATTAACACAGACAAAAGAAATATCACACATTAGAAAAGATACGATTTAGCTAATAATTAATCACTCCATGTGACATGGGAGAAGTAGTTTCAAAGAAAAATGATAAACTTAGTTATTTAAGCATGATGAAAAGTATTTTTCTTACCAATAACGTAACAGTGGTTCAACTTGGCACTACATAAAGTCCTCTTCACATTTTTTTTTTCTAAGTTTCTAAGATACTTAGTATAATTCTTAGGAGTTTCTGGTCAATCTGATAAATTCGTTATCTAATAGTTTTGTTTGAGTTTACTTAATGATTATGTATTATTTTATTACAAGTTACAGCTTTTACAGTAAGGAAGATTATTTTTTAGAAAATGTATGACATTTTGATCATAAGTAAAACTTGAGAACGATTGCACCAGTGAATGAAACTTGTATCTGTTCTAAAAACTAATCTTCCTTGCTGTAAAAGCTGTAAATTCTAATAAGTTTGTTATTTGTTTCAATTCCACATTAAGAATAAACAAGACCTTAATTATTATTCTGCTAGGATGAACAGTATTTATACACACCTACGTATGAATTTAAGTTTTTACAAAAGTGGCAAAATCCAGTGAGTGAGAGAGTAGTACTATGCATGATCACTGTTTTCAAAAATGGTAACAAAACAGTACCGTGTTCAAGTAAAAATACACTCCATTAGTCTTTTTTTTCCTTTTCTCTTTCAAAAATTGCCAAAGAAAATTCAAGTGTAATTGTAAAATACAAGTATAAATACTTGTATCTTTTTATATATTTATTTAGAGCTGTTTCAGCAGGTATAATAACAAACAAGCACTACTGAGTTACCGGAAAAAACAACTTTAGTTACTGTGTAACAAGCAGAACTCCAAACATCTGAAGATTTCTAAATTAAATGACTAAAATAATGCAATATTTAAAAATCAACATTTGTTACAATAGAAATAGATATTTTCTCACCTTTATAAAGTTCTCTTCTTCTAATTCCTTCTCAACACGAGAGTAAACTTTACGGTAACGAGGAGAGCAAGACGAAAAATTGCTGAATATCAAACTGTCATCAGTATCTTCCAGTGACTCAGAGTCTTCAACATCATGATTGTATCGATCAGATCTTGCTAGAATAAAATAAAATAAATAATTTTACTGAGGGTATATTAAAATCTACAATAAAAGAAAGCATTTTTAATTATTTCTTAAGAACCTATCACAATGAAATCTTTTCAAATTTTTAAAGCTGCAAAGTCCTTCAAATATTGCATATTAGAATAAGACGTTTCGTTGGCAGAAGCTATATAATATGTAGAAAGTTCACCTCAAGTTCCAAACTACTTCACCCAGTAGTTCTTGTTTCAAGCTATAAAAAACAAAGAAAATGTTCATTGAATCAATGAACCTGCATTTTAGATTTATATGTTATGAACATATACATGTTTTATAACCATGCACTAGATCACACTTTATGTGATGATGTGTTTCACTTATTACTTCTCATTAGTTCTTATTTGAGATTCTGTTGTCCATTTTGAGTAAGGTAGCACCAGAGCTTATTTCAAGATTTTCAGAACTGCACAATCAGCTAGTTTTGATTTTCAAGCATGTAATACACAGCACAACAACTCAATACTAACTAAATCTGGGCTATGCTAACTTGTCTTCACATATTTAGCTCCCAATATGATTTGTATAGTGTGCTGTGATTGATTCCAAAAAATCTGCTAACCAGTTTTAATTGGATTGAGGCTCCATGTATGTTATATAAACACAACACTGTGAAAATACCATGTTCCTATTGGCTAACCAGAGTTTTATGTTATTTTGTTTTATTACGAAGACAGAAATTACTTTTTAGATTGTGCATTGTGTAACTTAGAACAGCATATCAAATCATGTATAGGTTTTGAGTACCATGAACAACTGAAGAACAATTACAGAAATGAAAACATTTTTTTAAAAAGGTTTTTTTTTATAACTTTTAATTTAGCTTAAAGGGTGGAATGGCCAAGATGGACCAATAGGTCCCATGTTGTCACAAAACATTATGTTATGTGTGGTCCTTTATTTATTGGTAGCCAACCCCCTCTTTCATTCCTGATGAAAAAAGGAAAATATTTGTAAAACTTTAGAGTCTTTCAGATGAGTCACTTGTCTGAACAACTAAAATTAAACACTACTTACTGTCAAAATAACTTGTATCTTCTTCATCTTCTAGCTGAGGAATAAACTCAGCTTTCTGGCGTAGCAGGGACTCCCAATTCAGAGATGCAAAGAATGCATGATCTTTTACTTCATGGGCACCACCAGTCCCAAGCCGATCAAATGGATTGGGCCTCAAAAGTAGAGTGATTAATTCTTTTGCATCTTCAGCCACAAGCCAGTCATTTTCATTAGGCCACTCTATTTCATCTGAAAAAATATTGACTTATTTCAAATCTCATTCTCTACGTTACTTAAAATAATTTAACTACTTTATATTATAGTACTTAAGCTCTCTCTACACTATAACAAAGATAATCAAGTCTTTTTTTGAAAACCATAACGACATACACATTAACATCTGATAGTCACATGGGCTCCAGAGTCGTGTTTGCCCTTCATATTATACCTTTAACACTTCAGCAACCCAATGAAACCTCATAAAACAGATGTGAAAAAAGCCTCAGAGAAAAATGATGTAAAAAAAATATGCAGTATACATATTTAACGTGTGTACTGACCTATTTTTCAGAAAACATAATCACAGGTAGAGAGGTGTTTCTTAACCCTCAAATTACCAATTCATTTTTATATCACTAACTACTGGTTGGGTACTTATACTGAATAACTATGTTTTTGTTTTTTACAACACTCAATGTAAAGAACTGACCAAAAATTGGGTGAAATCATTCATTTTCTTAAATAAAATACAATACATAGAATCGTCAGTGATAATTAATGAGATATTAACTGCAATATTGGTTTTTTTTTGTTTAAAATTCTTTTGTGTGACTATATATTATCAAGGGCCCTGTAACTAACAGTCATAGATCTACAAGAAATCTAGTGCACATAAATATCGTAGAAAACTATGTTTAAAAAGCTGATGGATGTCCATCAGTACTTCTAGGGTTAAGGAGCTTCAGTACATTTTGAAAAAACAACTGAATTTACATATAAACAACAAGTAAAACTTCTAATTAAGTGAAGCAATGTATACACCTTGTACAAACAATACTGATCTACAAATATCTGACAAAACTACATACACACACACACAAAATATTTTCTTATAATATATGAAGTGCATATTAAAGTAATTGTCCATTTTTGTCACACTTTATTTACTACTTCTGTGTATGTTTATCACAAATTTGTATATTATAGTTATTATAATAATAAATCCTGTTAAACTTTATCAACACAGTATAATAGTACCTATGAATAAATTGCTTACATATCACCACTATATGAGGCCTAGCTTTTTTTCCTTTTGTGGGAGAGAGGGGATGTAGAGGTGTGCACTAATTGACTAATGAGCTCATTGATCATTCACTTAGCAAATATCACTAATTGCCCAGCTCTAGCTTACAGTGAATTTTTTACTTGTAAGTCATCACAAGTGCTAAAGTATATTTATAAAATTGGGATGATTCTTGCACTACCACCATATATTACCCATATATATTCCACACAGAATCCATTATTCTTTCTGAGCATCTAAACAAGTCATTTAACTTGTTTGGCTTTTATGTACAAACAAACAACTTGTTTACATTCCATCATTATATGAGACCTATTTTGTTTATTTGTTTTGCTCTTCCAATCAACACTTCAGCAGCAGAAGTAGCAAATCAAACAAAACAATTGGCCCCTATGGCATCTTTTCTCCACTAAAATTCATGTTTTGGTGAGGGAAAAGAAATTCACAGATAAATACAAAATCACGTTAAACTTTACCAACACCATGTACAGGTATGTAGCTATTTATAACTGCACATCAAAGTGTGTTTGCTACCATGATAAAACAGAAAGACTTATGGCTAGCTGAGAAGTTGTGGTACTAAATAAAGGGCAGTGATTTCTATGAGACAAAAGACAGATATGATTCAAAATATATAATATACAATTTAAGAGGAGTGTGAATAAAAGAATCTAAATATTTCTTCTACCACAAATATCACAGAAACTTATGGTTACAACACACATTTTTAAATGATTATTTCAATGCTTCTCCAGTTTTCTGCAACTACAATATTTTCAGCAGTAAAGGCTATAAAACAGCCACAGTGAAAGGATATTAACTAAAATTTTAATCTTTACTAATAGACTGATGTGAGTTCCACCAAAACTTTATTGAACATTAGCTGTTACATTCCAAGATCCTACTGTATGAGTAATATGATCAGATGAAGTTTCTCCAAGTTCATAATTTATGACATTTGTAAATCACATATTATCTTATTACTGAAGAGCATTAATAATATAAATATTATTTTATTTTTATTAAAGAAATTAAGTCTCAACTTATAATTTTCACCAGGACATTATTTTTTTTTTTAAATATCCACTACTACAAACTTCAACCAACAATTAGAAGGGTAATGATCATAAAACCCCAAACTAACACTAATGTTTCAGGTTGAGCTTTTAAACGAGTGTAGCTATAATATGTATACTTTTAATGGTTATATATATATATACTTATATACACAGAAATATTCACTATTATAGTGTTAAAATGCTTTTAAATATCACACATATACATGTACCATTAATAACATGGGCAAAAAGTTCTTCTGGAGTATCCCCAAAGAAAGGAACACAGCCAATAAGGAATTCATATAAAACAATTCCCATGGACCACCAGTCAACAGGTTTACCTATTAAATAGAGAAAGAAATGGGAGTTAGATATTAAACATATCTATTTCTGTTTCTTTAATACAGCTCATCATGCATGAACACATGAATCTTGACTCATCTCTGCAAGATACACTCTTTAAACTACAGTATTAGAGAACAGACATAGAAAGTATTATAACTAATTCCTCAATACTCAGAAATTTTTAACTGCTATATTTTAACTCCCTTCATCAGTTTTGGAGGGGGGAGGGAAAAGATGAAAGATCTTTTGTTTTTTATTATGATGGAAAACATCCATATAAACAACTACATTTAGTAGGAAGCGTACTTAACGATTTATTTATCTGACAATTATCTAGCTTTAAAGTTAAATGTGGGTATATGTAGATATACACATACAATTAGAAACATTCTAATAAAAGAAAATTATAAAATTTACACTTGCAAAAATTAGGATGTATCTTATATGTAAAAAATGTAAAGTTATCCAACCTTAGAGGTTGTGGTAAAACTTAAAAAATTCAAAACTGGTTTGTTCTTTAAAATTTTCCCCTCTTTTTTGTAGGAAAAAAAACAAAAAGAGACTAAGTGACATATAGATGTAAAAGTAGATTTTTCTCTTATAACAGAATCAAAAATAAACAAAACCACAATTTTAAAAATATCTTGCATGCATAGAAAGCTTTAGAAGAAATAAAAAAAACAATATACATAAGGATAAATAATTAATTTTTAAGAAAAGCACAATGAGTGATCATAAAAAATATCACACAGTAAAGATGGAGAACAAATAACTTTACTTACTCTTGATGCTTGGGAATATTTTGTTTTAAACCTAACATAACTATAACCAATTTCTACACAATTTTTTTACGTGTTCTCAATTCCATTAAAAGAAAAATGAAACCCATATTTATAATACAACAAACTTTCTCTAGAAAATCTTAAGTAGCATGGTGAATTTTTTAATACACGAATAAATATTTCGTAAATTGTAAGTCCAATAACGTACAAGATATTCTTCTCAGTTCAAATAAATTCATTTTATAGATGTATTTGTTTTTCCCTTTTTCATTTATTTCTATGCCCTATTCTATTGAAAAACATATACAACTCACCATAACCTTGCAGCAAAATTACTTCTGGTGCTATGTACTCTGGTGTTCCATAAACTTGTTTGTCACTAAATTGTTTGGTTTCTCGATCCAAATACCCTTCATGCATATTGGTAGCCACTGTAAGAAAAAGACAAAATGTTGAAGCATTCTATTATAATCTTGTGTTCTTATGGAATCCTATGTCAGGATTCAAGTAAAGTGAGTATCCAAGGCACTAAAGGAACAATGTCCTACTGTTAGTGTTAATAGGCACTAAAGAAACAATGTCCTACTGTTACAGTGTTAATAACCACTAAAGAAACAATGTCCTACTGTTACAGTGTTAATAGGCACTAAAGAAACAATGTCCTACTGTTACAGTGTTAATAACCACTAAAGAAACAATGTCCTACTGTTACAGTGTTAATAACCACTAAAGAAACAATGTCCTACTGTTAGTGTTAATAGGCACTAAAGAAACAATGTCCTACTGTTACAGTGTTAATAA